CGGAAAATATGCAGGTTGTAGGGATTAATAAATGGGGCTACATAAGCTATTGTTGCCACAAACAGACAGTTGAATGTCACTACAAGACGATAATCCACCGCGGGAGTTTGCCGTTTTGTCAGATTTTTAGAGCAAGGCATTCTGGACTACGTTAAGGCACTTTACTGGTAAGTATGCAGCGAATGGAGCAGCTTTTTAAAAGCCGGCTTCTTGGTGTGATGAAAATCCAGTGATGATAATTTCTAATTTGTCAACAGCCAGGCAGATTGGAAATCGGAGGAAACCTTTGAACTCAACTTCTTGCCCTGGTAATGCGTAAGCAGTAAACATCACCTGCAAATATCTTTAAAAAAGTGTGTAATATTGGCTTCGATAGGTCCACAACATCCGGTAAATTGAAGACGACGAAAGAATGCTTCAAACCAAATGATCGCAAAAGGGGATATGCATCGGTTTCTTTCAATGATGGCATTGCCAAAGCCCTTGTTTCGCAAAACCAGACCACTTCTCTTTACTGGCAGTGGTTTTATATATTCCAATGCTGATGCACAATGTTCATTAGTACTTACCTATAACTTATTTTAGTTCATTTTCCCCATAAACGATCCTTACACATGACATATTAAAGAGTACTGTATAAGGCATACTGTTTCCTTTTTATCCACATCAGAGATGTTGAGTAGTATAGGCCGATTAGAAGTTGGCGTGTCGTAGGTTTTCCTACTGTAAAAAGCGTTTTCCACCGGTGTTCATTTTGATTTCACACGAAAGAGTGTTACCTTGAGCCATAGGTGGTCACCAGGGTCGATACCAACAGAGTACTACATGCATACGTAAGCAAGACTGGTTAGATTGAAACTGTGTCTGGATGTTGTTTATGAAGACGTATTCAGTGTATGGTACACTGATTTCGTTCCATTTTAGGACTGGGAGGAGGTCTACATTCATCCGGAGTATCACCACTGGACCAGAAAGGAGGTGAAAATGCAGGATTTCGAACAACCCTGCTCAGACGTCTTCTGGGTGCCCCTCATGTCGGAGGTCTTCTGCAAGCAGCTAATTGAGGAGATGGAGAACTACGGAAAGTGGTCCGATGGCAGCAACTATGATCCCCGTCTGGAGGGCGGCTACGAGAATGTGCCCACCCGTGACATCCACATGCGGCAAATTGACTGGGAAGATCATTGGATTCACGTTCTTCGAAAATACGTCTATCCCATTCAGTTGAAGCTGTTTGAAGGCTACTCGGACAAGGTGAGTTCCTTGCCCCTTTTGCTACTGCCCACCTGCCGAGTTTTAAATCTGCCACAGTAAACAGTTCTGTGCCTACATCCATCTGTTTTCTTTATCCTCCTGTAGCCGTGGGCTCGTATGAATTTCGTGGTTCGCTACAAACAGGGCGAACAGCCTGCACTGCGCTATCACCACGATGCCTCCTCCTACACTTTGGATATGGCTCTGAACCGTGCCCATGTCGACTATCAGGTAAAACTTCCATGCAAAAACTTGCTTTTAATTTTGCGATCGTCTCCATGAGGGGCAAGGAATCACCGTTTGTTGCGTATACTTTGCAGCAACTGGGGACAGTGCCTCTTGGATCTGCATCAGATCAGGCTAGATCATAACACAGTATTCTTGACTTACGCTCAGCGATTGAATGATTTCATATAGATACAAAAGGTTTATGCTCTTGAGGCATTAAGAAACGCCTTCAACGACGGAGCTCTTGTGTTTAGCCCACTAACAACCTAGTGCACTAACACCTTCGATACGTAACAACTAACACACAAATATAATAATGACCAAAAACTGCAAGCGTTCAAAGGTATGTTACATATTAAAAAATAATTATAACCTTGAGTCCTCGTGTACACAGCGATAAAAATTTTGGCGGTGTGGTCAATGCGTTTAAACGCAAGGGTCAGTTAAGGAAAAATGGAGGCGAGAATTTTGAAGGTCAAAAATAGTCTGGGACCTCGGTACACACTTGCCATTACACTAATTATAACCAGTAACTTCTTCAGATGGTCATAGACGCAACAAAGATTTGGGATACTGACTGTATCCTCCGCTTCGAGGAATTCCATATAATGTTAGGCTTCGTTATTCCTTAGAGGCAATAATATGCAGTAAATACCTGCAGGAACAGAATAAAAACGTGCAAAAAGCCCACAATACTTTCAAAAAATACCTTTTTCTGCTCGGTTCTCTGAAATCGGTTCCCTCGATTGAGTAATTCGAGTTTAAACTTGACCTCTGTTTTCGCCTGAAAGAAATGACGTATGAAGCATAAATTAATTTATACAACAGCCTTTCTGACTATACAGTTGTGGTGAAGTAAATTGACTTTCCTTGTGGACGTGATTCAAAAACTCGTGACTATAGAATTACAGGGCAATGTCAGCCCAGGTACGACTAAATACTTTCAGATACCGACCTAGCAAACCGACGCCTAGAGGGCTTACACTTATTATTAGATACGAAACTTATAATTAAAACAAATTAAGATTCTGGGCCTTGGAGAGCAATTTCCCTACGCCTGTCTGCCTTGTTATCCTTCAAAGTTAGTCTCTCCTACTGCAAAACTGATCAAGTAGGATAATCCAAAGTTGGAATCACCTATATGTCCCGACTCCCCCTTGCTCTACGTGGCATTGCGTTGAATTCCAAGAAGCATAAATATTAACATGTATTTATTCCAGAACTCACCCCAAATCAAGCATTAATCTGAACCCCGATCTTACTCCCAAGTCTCATCCGATCATTAACGGACACTCTAAGCTTCATTTTCCTCGGATTAAACATGAAACCACCTTAACATACGCAAAAATTTGAGGTCCAGATATAATATTCCTTTCATCATCCCCGGAAGAGGAAGAAGAAGGGGTGATTTCTGGGACCAGGTTGTACTTTAGCTAAAATACAACGTGGTCCCAGAAGTCGCCCCTTCTTCTTCTTCCTCTTCCAGGGATGACGAAAGGAATAAAACCACCTGTATTACGGACGGTTCCTAGTGCCATTTTCTGTGGGGAGGGGGCAGTGTGTATGAGTAATCAATACCGAGCCTTTAAAACAACCCAAACCGAGAGAGATACAGTGTAGTTTCACTTCGAAGTAACCCAAACTTCTGTAACAAGCAGTTCAGTAGTGTAGAGTTGGCGAATGTACAGCGAACGCCTGTAAATATTGGAGACATGAAAGTTAGCATTTTAAAATTTATATATATGTTGGATGGTAGAGTAACTAAATATTCATTCGTTGGTAAAAGGTGGCGTCCGGTGTAACGGTCCAAAAGATGGGCACAATTCTAAATGTATATAAATGCAACTTTGCAGTTGTTGTCTGTGCATAAAACTTTCTCTTCGCGCGTCTGCATTTTCATAATTAAACTTTTCTCCATCTTTCTGTTTTACAAAAGCGAATGAGGTAAAGAAACGCCTAGTCCATTTGCCATTGGTAAAGCAGAATTTTTCTCTTGTAGGGTGGAGGTGTGCGATTCAGCCGCTATAACTGCACACTCGTGGACACCCGCGTCGGCTGGCCACTCATCTTCCCGGGACGTCTGACGCATCTGCACGAGGGTCTCGAAACCACCTCGGGAACCCGTTACATCTTTGTAACATTTGTGAACCCCTAGGTTGTCGTCGTCGGAGTCAGTGAGGGTTCAGCGAAAAAGCGGGACAGCATCGCAGGACCTGCCCGTTCCTGAATCTAGCTAACCCCAGCACCGTTTCAACAACATTTTAATGCTGTTCGTTTTCACTGTTTGCATGTATAAAATGTGCGTTTATTTATGATTGGTCTTCTGTGAGCTGGTTTGAAAGTGAATCCGTGTGTGTGTGTGGGCAAAAAAATGCTAGCTGACGCCCTCACCAGGCACACCAGTGTGTGGTATTGTGTGGTTAGTGGCTGATGAGTGGACTGGGAGTCAGATGGTGACGGGTCCTTCTAATTCCCCGGTTGTTTAAATCCTAGTGTGTGTGTGTGTGT